GCTTGATGAAGCCCAGAGAAATGTCACTTACCACCCCTCTGTACCACCCCCCAAATTTCACTGTCCCCCCACTTTTTCTAGTTTTTACTTTTTCCTTTATATTATTAATATAAGAAAGGCAAGAATGCAAGGCTCCTTGAACCATCTGCACCATGGACCCCTGTGACCCACACGCACACCTCCAGATGGGCTCCAGAGCCAGAAAGTCTAAGTCAACCCTGTGACACTGGACCCTACAACCTGATTAACCAACCTTGCAACATTCTGCCATTGTTCCTGCCTCAATCGTCCTGCCTCAACTGATAAGCCAACTTTGTTATGCTGGACCTTGGAGCTCGTGACAACCCCTCCCCTCACAATACCCCCTGCCCCCTGGCTTGCAAAAACCACCCTGAACTATAACTTCTGTAACTTTCCACTGCCTACCCCAAACCTATAAAACCAACTCCTATCCCACCACCCTCCATTGACTCTTTTCAGACTCAGCCCGCCCACACCTGGGTGAATAAACAGCGATGTTGCTCACACAAAGCCTGTTGGGGGGGGGGGGTCTCTTCATTCAAAGCACACTTAAAAGTAACCACACATAGCTATTTACATTTTTTTTTACTTTTATTATTATTATTAGTAGTAGTAGTAGTAGAGACGAGGTTTCACCATGTTGGTCAGGCTGGTGTCGAACTCCTGACCTTGTGGTCCCCCCACCTCAGCCTCCCAAAGTGCTGGAATTACAGGCATGAGCCACCACCCTGGCGCTATTTACATTTTAATTTAACTAAAATTAAATACAATTAAAGGTTTAATTCTTCAGTCACTCTAGCCACATTTCAAGCACTCCATAGTCACACGTGACTAGTGGCTATCGTATCTGTGGAGTCCGATCTAGGAACAGAAAGTCAGGCTGGTGGGACCCTGGGAAAGCCAAACCAGAAATCAGATAAACTAGAAGTCTGCCTTTCTTTATGGTCCAGGACACACAGCCCTCCTGTGCAAATAACTTACAATCTTCCTTCGCCTACTATCACCAGACACCTGCAAGTTAGCTCACTGCAACCTCGGTGTTTTATCGGTACTGCGCATAGCATTCTGCAGCCTAAGAACCGTCCTATAAAACCCCCCAGCAACACTCTGTTTCCTGGCAGGAAACAAAGAATCTTCTGCTGATTCTGACTGTTGCACTCTTGCAACATATTTTCCTAGTTTCTCTAATAAATCCGCCCTTCTTCACCTACAACTGTCTTGGTGAATTCTTTTCTTTTTTTTCCCTTTGAGATGGAGTGTCGCTCCTTGCGCAATCTCGGCTTACTGCAACCTCCACCTCCCAGGTTCAAGCGATTCTCCTTCCTCAGCCTCCCAAGTCGTTGGGATTACAGGCATGCGCCACAACACCAGGCTATTTTTTTGTATTTTTGGTAGAGATGGGGTTTCGCCATGTGGGCCAGGCTGGTCTCAAACTCCTGATCTCAGGTGATCCACCCATCTTGGCCTCCTAAAGTGCTAGGATTACAGGTGTGAGCCACTGCACCCAGCTTTGGTAAATTATTTTACCCCCATGCCACCGGCCTAGATCGTCACTGCTCACCTACAACATTTTGGTGGCATGTAGGGGGAACTCTCTCCGGATGGGAACTCTCCTCACAGGAAACCCTCTCCCTTCTCTCTTTCCCTTTCTCAAGTTGGTACCCTCAGAGAACAGCCTCTAAGCATGGAGGCAACTGCAGGTCTCTGGCAGGAGCTACACTCTGGTGGGACTGAGGAGTCTGTGTGGAAGCGTCTGACTGCCACTGCCCGGTTAGGGTGAGGGGCCTGGGTTCACTTACTCTTTTCGGTCTTTCAGCAGCTGGCTTCGATGGTAACCATCTGGCTGCTCTCCAGTGCTGCCTAAAGGCCAAAGGGTGAAGAGGGCTGGCTGCCTTGCCTGAAGAGAAGAAGACTCGCCTATCTTTTCTGGTCAAAAGTCCCTGATCCCTACAAGTGACGTGACTGGCAGCAGAAGCTCATTCAGAGCGAATTCACACATTTTGGGTAACTCAGGCACTCTCTCACTCTACATTCTCCTGTGGAGTCAGCCAGCCATCCTGTCTTCAACATTGCTAAATCAGGTGACCTCGGACAGCCTCAAAATGGTGAGGGTTCCCTTACCCACCCCCTCTCCTGGACGGGCATCAGGTGAGATCTTCCTTTATCCTTTTTTTCCTCAGACCTGGGCTGATCACCCAGCGTGAGTACCTGGACTGGCCGTCCGGCGTTAAAACCCATGACCAGCCAAGTGCTCTTTTCTAATCGGTGGAACGCCCCTTCAGAAAGTACACCCCAGTCCGCAGATGCAAGCGGAACCCTCTTTTCATCTCAGCAGGACGTCCCAAGAAAAGTGTAGTTAGTGCCCTCACGTGGCACGGCCCCCAAACAGCATGTTTTCCAGCCCCACCATGGGACAGTTCCCCCATCTATCCTTCAAACTCACCTCTGGGCTACACTCTAAAGCCTTAAAACAAATTTAACTCTCAGACTCTCAAAAAAGAGAAATGTCTAATTTTCTTGTGTAACACAGCATAACCCTTATGGAAAAAAAAAAAAATCATCAAATTAGCTTCCTCAGTCTTTTATAACCAAAGCAGAATAAGGAGAATGAGGCTAAAAAGACAGATGCAGAGACAAAAAGCAGGCTCAACTGCTGGCTGCTTCACAAGACCCCAGCCACTTTCCGTGGCCCTAAGGACACTCCTCCAGATAACTGCCACTAAAAGGGAAAGCACCTCAGTTGAATAAATGAACAAAAGCCCCACATGCTTGCCCCCTCTGCCACAAGCTCGGCCACTGGAAACAGGACTGCCCTGAGAGCCAAAGGGCCTCCGGGACAGAATCCCAAACCCCAATGGCCTTAAGGTAAAGAGGCTCCTTACCAGCTCACCTTAACCAGTAACTTGCAGAGGTGAGGAAGAATTCATCTCACCCATAAAGGTCTGGGCTGCTAAGGCTCTCCCTGATGAGAGATAAACAAGGGTGTTAGGGGTATAGGCCCCACACTATGCAGTGGCTGAAAGGCTCACAACCCCTCCTGTAAAGCTTAACCTTTTCCTCTCTGTTCCTTTTTTCGTTTTCTGTTCAATTTAGGGGTCCAGATTGAAAAGACAGCTTCTAACATCCTAACCCCTGATTTTATTGTTCTCTTTAAAGCTCCAGCTGGTTACATATTATGGCCTGTTTTTGTGCACATTTTAAACTAATGGGCAAACTACAAGAAAAATTCGGAGCGGAAATGGTTAACCTGCACGCTAGGGTTAAGTAGAATCTTCTAAAGTTCTCTATCTTCCTCTCTTTTTTTTTTTTTCCTGTCTGCTTTAAATCTACTGTTACTAAGTCACTGGTGCTGAGATAAGACTCATTATTTATGGTCTAACTAGAATGTAAACATTGAAAACTCATTTAAAGTTAAAGAAAAAAAAAAGGTAAAAGAAGCTCTGTTCAACAAATAACCTAGAATTTTTTAACCTTCCTTAAAAGTTAATAGAAATAGTCCAGCCCAGTGGCTCATCCCAGCACTTCGGGAGGCTGAGGCAGGCAGATCATAAGGTTAAGAGTTTGAGACCAGCCTGAGCAACATGGTGAAACCCCCCATCTCTACTAAAAATACAAGAATTAGCCCAGCGTGGTGGCAGGCGCCTGTAATCCCAGCTACTAAACTCAGGAGGCTGAGACAGGAGAATCACTTGAACCCAGGAGGCAGAGGTTGCAGTGAGCTGAGATTGCGTCACTGTATTCCAGCCTGAATGACAAGAGCAAGACTCTATATCAAAAAAAAATTAATAAAGATAAGTCCTACACCTCTTTCGAATCTTATTCTTTGGTTTTTGTTTTGTTTTGTTTTGTTTTGTTTGAGACAGAGTCTCGCTCTGTCGCCCAGGCTGGAGTGCCGTGGCGCAATCTCGGCTCACTGCAGCCCCTGCCTGCCAGGTTCAAGCAATTCTCCTGCCTCAGCCTCCTGAGTAGCTGGGACTGAGACGTGCGCCGCCACACCCAACTAATTTTTGTATTTTTAGTAGAGACAAAGTTTCACCATGTTGGCCAGGCTGGTCTTGATCTCCTGACCTCATGATCCACCCACCTCAGCCTCCCAAACTGCTGGGATTACAGGCATGGGCCACCACGTCCAGCCATTGAATCTTATTAGAGCTACCTTTTTATTCAGTTCTATTGCAGGCTCTCAGTAATTATCCAACTGCCTCTCTTATGCAGCTTCACCCTCTTAATATTGAAGTTTTTATAAGGGAGATAGTATACAATTGCTATTTGCAAGGAAACTTCCAAGATTACTCCCCAGACAAAATTTCTTTATATTTGTCCTAGTAATGATGTATAACCACCACAGCACAACAATGTGCTGAGGTACTTGGTGTTCAACTGTTTTTCTTACACTCTTTACAGCCCTTCTTTCCTGTCTCCCTGCGTTTCCTATATGTTGTTATTTTCCTTAAATACGGCTCTGTTTTTATTTGTCTATCATGGCCATTGTCTCAGTGTCTATACCCAGGCACCCGCTCTACTCAGTAACATCACAGGTTGCTACCATAACACACAGCACTAACTGCTGGATGTGCCCTCACAAACAAGCACTTGAGGACGACATCACACTCTTAGCCGTCCCATGATCTACACAGAAGAAATTGTTTAGCCCAGTTCTCTGGATTAGACTACACCGTTTACATGCACACCAAAAGCATAGGTCTAGGAGAGGGACCTAGGCCAATAAGCCCCTCACGGCGATCATCCACCGTGACAAAGCAAATAGAGAAGGCACCACAAATGGCCTGTAAGGATCGCCTCCGCATCAGAAACTCCAAGGGGTCTGGCCCTTTGCTAGAGGCTTTATCACCAGCCTGTCAGGCCTCCAAGTCCAAGCCTGGCCATTATAGCCTTGGTGACCCACACATACACCTCTGGATGGTCCCCAGGAGCCAGGACGTCTGAAGTAACCAGGTGGCCACAGAAAGAAGTGAAACAACTTGTTCCTGCCTCAACTAATTGCTCTCCCCTTGCAACCTGCAACCATTGTTCCTGTTTAGCCTTGCAAAAATGCCCCCATTACACTGGGTGTCTCAAAACCCCCACCCCTGTAACTGTGTAGTTTACCGTACCCTCCCCTCTGATTGCGACCAATACACCCCCACTCTTATGATCACGCCTGTTTGTAATAAATGACCCCTACCCTTGTGATCATGCATCCCGTGATGCCGTTCCTCTCCCCAAGATAGATTACCAGCGTTAGCTGAACATGTGCCCCAATCTATAGAACCAATCCCCTCATCTACCCCCTTTGCCTAACTCACACTTGGCCCGCTTGCACCCAAGCGTGAAATAAACTGCCTTGTTGCCCACACAAAGCCCGCCTGGTGGGCTCTTTAGGTCGCCTTCCAAAGCCCATTATAATTACATCCTTAACTATAATCAAACACACCAGGAATGGCAGCCACACAACAACCCTAACAAGTTCACTGTGTACCTCTGCAGGTTTTCTCTGCGGTTGGGAAACAACAAAGTTAATGCCAGCAACATTTAGAGTGATTTCTTTATGCCTATAAATAGTTCCGGAAATGGGATGGAATATAGAGGAACAAGGGTTGAAACTGAGCAACTTCTTAACCTCACTAATGTCTCCATCTTTTCCTCAATTTTCCCTTATCCCATTAATATTTATCTGTCAGGACAGACTCAACTTCTGCCTATAATAATGCTTATATTAGTTTATTTGCACCCTGTATTGTTAATGAAATATCTTGTTAGCCAGGCACGGTGGCTCACGCCTGTAATCCCAGCACTTTGGGAGGCTAAGGTGGGTGAATCACAAGGTCAGGAGTTCGAGACCAGCCTGGCCAATATAGTGAAACCCCGTCTCTACTAATAATAGAAAAAAAACTCAGCTGGGCATGATGGCATATGCCTGTAGTCCCAGTTACTCGGGAGGCTGAGGCAGAAGAAGCACTTGAACCCGGAAGTACAGGTTGCAGTAAGCCGAGATCGCGCCACTGCACTCCAGCCTGAGTGACAGAGCAAGACTCAGTCTCAAAAAAAAAAAAAGGAAAAGAAAAAGAAATATCTTGTTTTGTGTCTTCTAGAATACAACAACTTCAAACCAAAATGTTACTACAGTAGGGTATCAGCTACTAAAAGAACTGATGAATCCCCTTTGGAGCCAGCACAACAAAATTTTAGGCTGCAAATGCTGTTCCCCTGTGGTCCCATAGCAACTCTGCCCAATTTATCTCCCAACCAGGGATTTAGGCCCATGTAACCTCCTGACCGACTATCAATCCTAGGTGGGGCCAACTCTACGTCCCTGGTCAGCAAGAAGGTGAAGGTGAGACCTTCACTCACATGCCAAAGATTTGTCATCGCTCCTCTGTCAGGGGAGGAATGTGGAGTCCTAATTACAGAAGTCAGGCTAGTGGGACGGAGGGAAAGCAAAAACAGAAATCAGATAAGCTAGAAGTCTGCCTTTCTTCATGGTCCAGGACACACAGCCCTCCTGCACAAATAACTTACAATCTTCCTTCGCGAACTATCACCAGATATCTGCAAGTTAGCTCACTGCAACGTTGGTGTTTTATCGGTACTGCGCGTAGCATTCTGCAGCCTAAGAACCATCCTATAAAACCCCCAGCAACACTCTGTTTCCTGGCAGGCGGCTCCTCTTCTTCTGACTCTGTTGCCCTCTTGCAACATATTTTTCTACTTTTTCTAATAAAACTGCCCTTTGTCACCTACAACTGTCTCGGTAAATTCTTTTCCCCCACGCCATCAGCCCAGTCGCCGCTCACCCCCAATAATATCTGACAGTGCAGATCTAGAATATCTCAATCACTGCAGAAAGTTTTGGAGCGTGCAGTTCCAGATAGAATAATAAGCCAGGTGCACCATCTGAAATATTACTTTTCTACTCAGTGGAAATTTAGCCTTCAATCTCTTGTGTGTGAGGGTATGAGGCTGTTTGCCCGAATTTTGGAGTGTGCGAGGGGTTGGGTATGTCCATGCTCCATCCTATTTCCACCTCTGAGAATCACGCTGTCTTCCTAGCCTGCACAAATCTAAGATGTGAAGATGAATACCTGCAGTCAGGAACTAAATTCTCATGGAATTACTTCTGTGCCACATTTTGATATGGAATGTGGGGTCACAGGTTGTGGTGAGCAAACCCAGCCCATATCTCTCCAAACATTCCCTGATGAGTGCCCACAGTATTACAACTGGAAATGGTTTACTGCCCCATA